ACAAAAAAACCAAAACCCCCCAAAACCCCAAATATATCTTAAACCTCTACATGTCTATTTTACCATGGATTCTCTCCACTGCAGTATCCCAGGTCCAGAATCCTGGGGAGTTTAGCAAACCTTGCTCTGGGCAGTACCACTGATGAATGGCCATGGTTAAACCATTACCCAGGGWCTCCTGGAGCTGCTGGTGACAGCCTTTGGAAGGTTCTCGTGTTTCTGAGCCTTCCCTCATTTTAAGTGAGGATTGATGACTGACATGTTCTGAAAACATTCTTTATGACAATGGTAATAAAACAAGAAAAAAAAAGGAACAGATTTTAGAAAAAGCAGAGCAAAAGTGTAGAGCTGTTATCCTAACTGCATATTTCTGAGACTGTTGCTATTTTTTGCTTCATTTTGTGGAGTGTATTTTCTTATTTTCACAGGTGTCAATCTTCATCTAAGAACTTCTATATTTGCTGGMAGGCAACTTTAATTCTCTTTTAATGACTTTTTCTCTTAGTGAATCAATACTTAATTTTAAAAGGTCTTCCTTACTTCCTAATAATCTCCTTTATTTTTCCTACTCAAAGGCACATTTAAAAGGGAATTCAATAGCTCAGCTATTTCAGAAGGATTATTGCATTCCATATAGAATTATATGAAATATAGAATATATTATATTACATCTAGAATCATGGCTGTTGATTTTTCACTTTAGACAGTGCTTTCMACCTATTTTTATATTCGTAATCTCTTCTGTTCCTCTGTTAGTATTGAGCAGCTCTGGATATTTGCTGCTCTTGGTTCACCCTGCACTTTTTGCCCATCCAGTATCTTTTTGTGTCTCCTCTCCCCTCTCTCCTTTCCCCTAAATCTGTGGTTTCTCTCACCATGTTGATCCCTAATTATAAAAAAATAGCACAGTCCCTATTGCTGCTGATTCTCAGTGTAACCAGAGCAGGGTGAAACCCACTCTGRTACACCCATTAATGCATATTTTTTATCTTTTCACTCCTCTGTGCCTCATTTTGCTTTCTGTGGTATTTCTCAGGTTCCTTTCTCTCCAATCTGCTATTAAACCCTACATTGTTTAAATGTTTTTTTTTTCCTCCTTTTTCTCACAGAGCATTTGTCATTTCACAGAGCTTCAGCTTTGCACTTAAAATGAAAAGCTGAGTGGAGCTGTGTCATAAACAATTGGGATTTAATAAATAACTTGGTCTGCAGCAAACTGCTCCACTAAGAACTAATACACTGTGAATTTTAAGGTTTCATTTGATTTRTGCCAGTTCTTTCTATCTCCCTCCCTCCCCTGCGAACACTTTATATGCAAGAATGCACAAATGTGAAGAAAAATTATTTATAAAAGAAAAAAGATTTGTATTTTATAAAGAAATTAAATTTCCAGAAGACTGTTTTAACTCTGTCATCTGCTATAAAGACAAACATTCTGTTGCATTAAGAGAACTAAGACATGCAATCAGAAATACGAGGCTGAGAGCGAGTGAAAATCGGGGAGTTATTCCATTTTCTGGTGCACAAAAACTACTGCAGACAACAAAACTGAGGCTATCCTAGAAATTAGTCATTTGTTCAGTATCTCAAATCAGTCTCCATTTGGAAACAAAATGTTAAGGTCTGTGGGAGGGTGGAAGGCCAGCTAAAAATAATATTGTTAATCAGCAAAGAGATATTCCTGGCTTTCAGCAGCAGTGGGTTCCAAACCTACAAACTGCTCCAGTAACATTGAGTTCCCACCTATTTTCTCATCCTGAGGAAGATGTCTTGCTGCCCTGTGGATTTTTGGGTTGSTAAACTGAGGGAAATGGATGTCAGACTCTTCTGACAGCTTTAAGGAACGTGAAAATTGGGAATCACACTTGAAAATATTCCACACTGTGAYGTGTTCCATAGAGCTCAAAAATTGGGCAGCAAAGTGTTTGGGTGAGATTGGAGCCACTTCTTTGGCTTGAGAGGACTTTAACCCTCGCTAATTTATTTTAAATATGTTTTTAAGCTGCACAAATGAATTTTCAGAAAAGGATCAGCCTTTCCACCTCCATCAGAAAAACAAAACTTACTTCATCCATARATTCAAATTGTTTTCTTTCTTTATATAAAACTTACTAAAAAAATCTGTTCCCTTGGGAATAGTTCTAGAAGACTGCTGATAATGAACACAAGGGATGTTTTCTAGCATTGCCTATTTAATTTTTCATATTCATACAAATTTCAACTCATCCCTCTTGTTTTAGCTCAACTGAGACAGTGCAAGTAGGTTGCAGAAAGTTGTCTGATGAAACAAAGATGACACCTGTAACTTAGGACCAGATTGCTTTATCAAAATAATAGCAAAAGTAAAATATTGCTTACTACGAGTGAAATATTTTACATCTACATATAAGGTATATGAATTAATTATTTCAGAAGAGTGAAATTTAGCCTCAAGCTCCTGAAACCTCTTACATCCTCAGACATTTGGAGCCTCTTTGCATCATGATAAAAAGTTGGTAAAAAAAACCAAAAAACAGTGCATGAAACTTGAAACAAATAACAAAAATTGTAAAAAATATTATTTAAAATGAAATTGGTGAACAACTAGGTGCATAGATAATGATGGATATGATGGATACAGGACTATTATTCTTTCCTGACATAATAATCCACTTGTGTTGTGAGCATCCCTKTAAACCCATCTCCTTTAAGTTGAAAGGAGTAGATTTTACAAGTGCTGCTGGAATTCTACTCATATCACAGAGAATACATTCCCATGTCTTAAACTCACTCTGCCAATAATCTCTGCTATCACCACAGCCTCTACGAACACCCAGTGCTGGCTGGATTTGGGAAACCTGTATCTCTCCATGAACTATTTTCATACTTCAAGTTTTAATAATATTCAGCTTGCCTTGATTTTTATTTTTTTTTTTTTTTTTGTAAAGAACTTGTGGGGATTTGCAAAAGAATGTTTCTGCTTTGTTTTATTTTTTTCTTTGAACTTCAATTAGGGAGGGAGACGCCCCTCCACACACGCACACACATTTTTCACATCTTTTTGCATTCATTCAGCATTTGATTGAAGAGTTAATTCAGCTCCACTGAACAATGATAGATGTAATGAACAGAAAGGTCTTCCAATGTGAGAGATATTCTTCTCAATTCTTTCTGACAGGCAAGGGATGGTAAATAGACAAAACAGAGTCAAGCTAGGCAGCAAACTTGTAAAAAGGATGACTCTGGTAATGTACAAGGACAGCATGCACATCAATGAATACTTACATAAATGTCTGCACCATAAAATCCATCCTGGTATACAACACTGCAAGGATGCACACACAAAGAAAAACATCCATATTAGTGCATTTCCACATGCAAATGCCACCAACCCCTGCACAGCTGAGGTTAGTCTCTCACAAGAACAGAGGGGAGCGGGGAGGAAGGCACTCTTCACATTGGTTAGGGAGGTTGGGAGCAATTTTCACAAGTGAACCTGTAGCAAATACATCATTTGATCAAGTGTGCCAAATGCTTCGTCAAACAGAGGCAAAGCATGGCAGGGCTGCAAAAGACTTTTGATAAGGTTTGGGGGCTTTTTTTCTTCTCCTTTTTATTTTGAGTTGTAAGAAACCACATATTGACAGCATTTTTTTCCCCCTATTACAATTTTCAGTGGGCCAATCCTCCAATCAGTTTCAATACCTTAACAAAAARCTAGCTCTTGAAGTACTGCTTTCTTATCCTGCAGTTAGGCTGACCCTCTGGATAAAAAGGGTTACTTCTCATTACTTGGATGGCAAASAAAACACAGCCTGAGTTGAAATGGTGAGAGGAGTGGGTGAAATAATTGTGCTGGTGGTGTTCTACCCACTGGGTCAAATCTCAATATTCAGTGTACACARAGGTGAGAGAATCCATAGGTACGGCACTGTTGCCTTGATGCACATTTCCAGTAGTGACAACGGGTCTGTTGAGAATTTCATAGAGTTACTCTTGAGAAAAAAAAAAAAATTAACTTTCCCTACTTGAGCATTTTACAGCTTTGGCAAACATGCCAGCGTTTCTGAGCTCCCCAGTTTGGTTGGACATTACTACTTCTTCTCTGTAAAAAATGTGGTGACGTTGCTGCTACCAGTTCACCCAGAGACTGCCTCCTTTCAGCTGAGATAAATCATCAGTGTAAACAGTGAAAGATTGTCAACCCTTCAGGATAAACGACACAGTATGACAAAGACAGCTTAAATGATTACACAAAATAAAACGTGCAACTGCACAACGGTGGCCTACCAATTACACCCATTAGGTAATTCCTGCAATTTTACATCCATTTGGCAGCTCTCCARCTTAAAATGTGGATTTCCAATATCAGTATCAACCCAAGCTGTTTTAACAGCTAAATATGAGAGCACACAATAGGGTTTGTTTCCAGCAATATTTTCAATTTAGGAATAATGTTATCTAGGAATAATAGTTACTACCAAGTTCTAGCCTAAGCCATTTTGCAATTCCAACGAGGATTTTCATGTCAGAAATAGAACTGATCTATTGAGGTCAATGACCAAACCCCACAGGGCTGAGCTGGTATGTGTCTAAGTCAGAATTGCTTGAGAAAATCATAAATATGCACACATGCACACAGAGACATGGATAAAACCACACTGATGATAGAAGTCTGCAATGGAATACTAATGGGTGAAAACTCAGCTCCACTTAAATCAGAGTGTCTGCCATTTGTTTCAGAAGGATCAGACCTTTATTCATATTTTTCTATTTATTATGTCTGTAAAATCTGGCCTACACTGGCAACTTTCAAAGAGTTTGTTATTTCTATTGTAGTATCCCTTCATTTTGGTTTTGATATTCTGGTTATTTTAAACATTCCATGTTTTTCTCATACCGGTTTGCATGTAAGAAATCAAGCATTCCACAYAACTGACAGGTAGGAGCACACAATCAGGACCAGCATGGAAGGACTTTGATGAGGTGACACACAAATAATATTGATTTCACTGGAGATGGWGGCCCCAAAACACCAGCCCTTGGTTCCTCATATCCCTGTGCCACTGGAGATGGGGAGGAGTTGGGGAAGGTGGTTTTGGTTCTGTTTATAACCATCTAGCTGCGCTTCAACAGGAAATAAATTAAATTTCAAATCAAGTCTGTTTTGCTCACGATGGTAATTGGGAAGAAGCTAACCCAAGGTTTATTTTAACCCAAGAGCTTTTTCTGTACTCTGGAGGAGGAAGAAGAGCACAGCTGGGTGAGGATCTGGCAGCCAGCTGAGGCCAACCCATCACTGCACATTAGAATACCCTACTCTCAGTTACTATCAAACATTGCTATTCAGGAAATTTTATTTTTAAGACAGCATGTGTCAGAAAGGGAACTTTTCTTCTTCCTCTAGGTGATCTGTGGTTATACAGCCAAGATGAATAGGGGCTGATAAATTTTTCATTCCTAAGTGCAGCTGGTTGTAATCTTGGACAGGTTCATTCATCCACCTCAGCCTTCCTTCCAGTCATGTTCAGACAGAAACTTATTTTGAGTTCTAATTATGAAACCACTTCATAAACACTGTGCTGAAAAAAATGTACCCATCACTAAAATAAGACACAGGCATAACTCCATCATTAAACATGGCCAATATTAAAATGAAGGGACAGAATCAGGCAAATGAGTGTAACAGTCCTAAATAGGACTTGCACTACCAAAAAAAAAAAAAAAAATCAGCTGATATTCTATGTTATTTCCTCCCTATTATCTTGTATTATGATAGTGATATTAAATAAAAACCCTTCTGATTTTGCTGAAGTTTGAAGAAAATAATTCTTCACACTTCCATAGATTTGTCAGAGAATATTTCCTCTATTCAGTGCCATTTGTCCTAGTCATTTGTTGATTCCTGACCTAATCCTACCAGTGGAGTCAAATGTACTTTCCAACATCACCCTTCGTCAGAAGGACAAAGAGTAAACCACCAAGAACTGTGTTTTGCTCCTGTGCTGTTCCTTCCTTCAATGRATAATTTTCCAAGGGGTAATTGGCTTGGCTTATCACCTCTTTTTCTCTCTCTGAAGCTCTAGGCAGAACATAAAGAGACTGAAAGTATCACACAGGAACCCATCTAGCTACAGCTCCTTTTTAAACTTTATATTACAAAAAAAAACAACAACAAAAAAAAAAACCAACAAGGTAGACAGATAAATCTTATGTTCCTTGTAAAACAACACAAAGTTTTTAAATAGCCACATTACTGAAATCTGAATTACTTCACCCAAGAAATGGATATGTTAATGCGCTTCCTGGAGGCATTAAAAAGAACAACAAATTTGGGGGGGTTTATTCAGTTGTATTTGATTATTTTGTTGTGCTAGGGAAAACTCAGAGAAGTGAGAAACCTTGATTTAATAAGAAAATGGGCATCWAAACAACATCATATGTGGCAATCATTTCCTAAAATTATTTTTCTATAGGAAAATTATTTTTCTAATAGGAAACTGTTCCCTCCTCAGGTATTATGCATCTGACTTTCATGGGTTTAGCTCCTCTATTCAAGTCTCTGTGTCTCATAATCACTTTTTGTAACTATATTAAAACAAACTCTTTACTAGTTTAGATTACACCTTTCTAATATCCTGGGAGAACTACATCTGTCTTCATTATCATTTTTCCATCCTCATCTTTCAAAAGGATCGAGTTGAATAATCGATCAATGCCACAAAAAGACAGTCCTTGATTGCACAAAGCTGAGCAGGTTCCAGGAGCTGAGGATTCCTGCACACCCAACCCAAGGAGGGAGTGAGGGATTCAGGGGAACACATGGCCATCACAGCCCTGATTTCCTTCCTGGGCACGAGAATGGGTGCAGTCACCATCACAGCTCAAAGAAAGCAGCCAAAGAACACAAGTTCTGTGTTTTCTGATTGCTGGGCGGGTCACCCTCACTGTCCTGCACTGCCCAGCTCTGAGTGTGGAAATCACCTTCCACGTGAAACCTTTCAAATGAAGKTTTCATGAGACAAATGACAGAGGAGATGCAACCACAGCCTTATTCAAAGCAAAGACAGAATTAAAGCAACACCTTTCATCACTCTAATAACAGTTTTCAGTGTTGTAATGGGACTGACACTCTTGTAAGAGGCAGTTTCAGTTTCTTAGAATGTTCTCTAATTCCAGTTTCTTGCCTTTCCAGGTTCAATGTTTTCTGCCATGGACAAGTTACATTCTCTGCTCTGGGAGACTGATTGAGGGCATTGCTGCAGAGAACAAAGCTGGCAGACATCAATCACTGTGTGCTGGCAAAACCCATTTTTTGTTCCTTCAATATACACAGAGTCCAAAATAAGAGCCAGTTTATGTGAGCCCAAGTAAATAAATTGGGAAAAACCCATAACAACCAGAGTAGATGGAGTAGCTCATAATAATCATCCCTTCTTAAATTTAGAATAAGGGTTGGAAAAATAAAGCTGTGTTTTCAATTTCAATCAGTTAGAAAGTAGCACTTGAGAATGTTTATTTTAACAAGGGGAAGAGTTTCCGAATAGTCTCTGTTACTTCTCCCCCACACTCCCCACAAATTCTATTTAGGGTTGGGTTTGGGGTTTTTTTTACTCTTCTATTCAAAGAGAAAAAGGCATCTTGCTGTCTCCTGCTTTCCCAGGAGAGACAGCAGAGGTGGAGATAGAGACTGAAGTTAATTCTCTGTGAGCTTYATCAGAGCTGAGAGGAGCAGAGAGGAAATGTGAAGGCAAAGTCACCACACACCAAACTTGTGAAGGATTTAAGGCAAAGGGTGCTGAAATGAAAAGGCTTTCCATGAGTTTCACTACTCCTGCTATCTACTACTGCTCTACTACCACATACACAGTGATGCTGGGTTTTCTMAACAACAGATCAAAAATCTCTTACTCCCCTCTCCTGCATCACGTTRAGGTTCAGCTCTCCATGCAGTACAGACCTCCAAACTCTAAATTTCAGCATTCAATATTCTCGTACAAACCAAGCTTCACTCCCCATCTCAGTGTCAGTGGGGTTTTATGGCACATAAATTAATTACACACAGCTCTAAGTAAGCTGCACTTTCWCATCTTTCAAGGCATTAGAGATGATGGCACAGATGCTAAAAGGGAAGTGCTTTCCATGAGCTAATAAACAAGATGCTATCTCAAGGAATTAGTGAAATGCCTCACTCAGAACTAAAGGATCCATTAATAATTGGGGTAGTGCTCTGGATCTCAYGAAGAGTAATTCCATTTTTCAATGACACATTTTAAAGCATGTGTTGTTCTTTGATTTATGAGAAAACAATAAATATGGTTATACCAAACAATTTCCYTCAGACTTAGCAAAGCCTGTCTGCTGCTCCCCAGAAAAGAAATATTTTTTTAACTGAACACTGATGGAATTTAATGTAAATTTATTATTAAAATTATATCTGTCATTATAGAAAATAATGTCTACTTTTTTGAAATGATTGAAAATACTTAAGTATGAAACTGCTTGTTTGGCTGTAAGGCTGGGCTCCTTCCTTGAGTGAAAAATGAGAAATTGCCATTAAATTAATTGCAAAACAGCATTTTCCATTTTTCTTATCAACAAATTGTATTCCAAGTTGTTTGCTTCCTTCTCTAAGCTGATTAATTCTCKGTGATCTCTTTATTATCTCTATAATTTTCCTTGACTTCTATTCACATTGTGATCAAAAAAACCCACATTCCCACATTTTATTTTCATTGATTAAGGTGTTTTTTTTTTGTGATAGAAATTTCCTTCAGTTCTTTGGGGGTCACAGTACAGAATAGGTGAGCAGAGAACAAAGCACCACACAGAAATTCCAAGTTAGACTTTGGTGTCAGTGAAGATGCCAACACGAGATTTTAGACAGCAGGCCAAAGTAATGATGGCAGAATAAAACTTCATTACTCCACCTGTGGATCAGTGTAACAGAGATATTGATAATTTCTGTACTGATCCATGAATTATAAGAGTGGGCAGTTCAGAAAGCTGGGCCTTACTGTAAAGCACAGGTGGATGGAGAAAATTTAAYGTCTGAACTCAGACCTACCTGAGTTATGACAGGGCTGAGGAATTGAAAACTTTGGTGGCCTCAAATGATGTTTTCTGGCAAGGTGAGCCCTAGATTAGCAAGGGTTCCTCTCAGACAGCCGTGTAATTACATGAGAATACACATGTGCTACCCTTGGAAATGGAATTCTTTCTGCTGAGTCACTGTTCTAATTTTACAAATGTGTGTACCACACACATATACACACAGAGCACCCACATGTGGCCTCTTAAATTAAGGCAAATTTAGGTTATTTATTAGTCAGAAAGTATTAACTCATTTGTTTTGCAAGTACTACCCAAAAAAGTATTGTCCAATTCAAAACTRTATCACACAGAGCTGGAAATCATTTTCTTACATACTTTTGTGACTGAATTTAACTAAGATGGGATATTAATGACATCATGAGTGGGCCACACTGTTCTCTCACTACATACTGCACTCCATGTTGGAATTTAAGAATTTATTTTTAAACCAGGCAGAGGTGGAGAGMCCAGTTTGTTTAGCTGCAGCATCCATTTGGTCACTGAGGAATTCTGACTGAAATATGAAAGCATTCTAAACTGGCAGGGCATTCTAAACTTGCTTCCATCATTGCCATGTACAAATTCCCGGGCTGACTCTAAACGAGAATGGCAACAGAGGGGTAACTTCAGTGGGACACCATCCTTGCCCAGGGGTAACTCAGGCAAACTTCAGAAAACTGTCTTCCTCCAGTAGTGACAATGCTGTTTGGCTTAATAAACTGCACAAAACACTCAATTAAAACAGCAGAACATAATTTTAAAAAATAACCTGATTCTGTGGCATCATTTTTATACTAATTTTTAGGACATCTTATTTCTCTGAGATAATAACTGCTGATTGTGATGGAAYGGTCAAAGTGCCTGTCTTAAATATCCCTGAAAACTCAGCCCAAAGGGCAATGATAAGATYAGCAAATTTGTCTGGAGAAAGATGCTCCTTTTGGCTTAATGGAACTAAGGTTTAAAAGAAATTGTGGAAACTGGTGCAGGGCTCCCATCACCTCCAGAGGGGATGGGGCAGTGCTGGCAGCTCCTGCACAAGGGGATACCTCGAATGGGAGCCAAGGAGCTGCTGAATGTGATTTCAGAGAGGTCCTCTCCAGTCACTGCCTGAGCCAACCCTTCCTGACCCCTTCCCAGACAGACACAGCTGCTCTACAGAGAGGTAGAGACAAATCAACTTCAAAATTTTATGATAAAATACTGCTCTGGCCTGGGATCTTCTGAGTTTTCAGTTTTTCCAGATTTCCCAATTTCTTAACA